TAAATACTCACCAAGTGTCAGCATCCCTGTCTTCAAATCTACTTAAACACTCACCAAGTGTCAGCATCCCTGTCTTCAAATCTACTTAAATACTCACCAAGTGTCAGCATCCCTGTCTTCAAATCTACTTAAACACTCACCAAGTGTCAGCATCCCTGTCTTCAAATCTACTTAAACACTCACCAAGTGTCAGCATCCCTGTCTTCAAATCTACTTAAACACTCACCAAGTGTCAGCATCCCTGTCTTCAAATCTACTTAAACACTCACCAAGTGTCAGCATCCCTGTCTTCAAATCTACTTAAACACTCACCAAGTGTCAGCATCCCTGTCTTCAAATCTCCAGACATTTCACTGTCAATAGCATCCAAGATGGATTGACCAGCTATTTGTTCATACTCCCAGAACACCCTACGAAGATGTGGGTAGCTGCGAGAGCACATGACAGAGTTAAAAGTAGACTCATCTGTTCCCCACTTCTCCACGCCAGCTTCGTGCAGGGCCTACCAAGAAGAATTAGTGTAAGGTTAACTAATTCATTATCATCTTATTCAAAGATATGACCTATCACACAACGGAAGCAGAAAGAGAGCTTTAAGAATATGACTACACTAGTGTACACAGTCAGAACAACAAACTTGAAATACTTGTAAAATGGAACAAGACAAGATGGATGGGAAAGTGAGAATCAGGAACAGTATAGTCTCAAGGCATGCACAGTGGGGTGGAGGTTTAATGATGAACCAACCAGAATGGGTGTACCAATCTCCACGGGTTTGAGGGAACAATGTTCATACACACAGAGCTCACCTTGTCAAATAATATATAATCTGTTTCGCCACTTCCTCGGGCACCATTACACCTCAGATATTCTATAACCTCACATATGGTATACCCCGGGGCATATTATAGCTTTTCCGAGCCACACGGGGAATAAAATTGCAAACTCCTAGACACATGGGAGAAAACTCTTGATAATTCAAAAATGTAAATTAGAAGTAAGATAATTAATATAAATGGAAGTAAACTCCTGATATCCTTGGGCATGGCATAAAAAAAAAAAAACATAGCTCATGTGGAGTGGTACACCCCTTCAAACTCCCTACAAGAATACTCCAACAGTTAAACATGTCTAGACTTGAAAATAAAGAAACTCGTGAAAAGTATGAACATTCTCTACAATGAAAATCCTTTGGGTCATTTTTTGACAAGTTCATAATTGTTCTACCTGTGGTGAAAAATAATAATATATTTTGGGTTATTTCTAGTGATATGGTTATAAATCATATTGATGTTTTAGTTCATACAGAATATTTAAAATTCAATGTGCCACTATACCTTTGAAAACCAGTAGTGAAACTGTTGCACGCACACACACACACACACACACACACACATACATACACACAAAAAGAAGAAGATAAGGAGGAGGAGAAAAGAATGTGTTCGACCAAAATACATCCGCAGACATACCGCTGTGCTACTGGGGGGCTAACAAATTATGAAACTTCAGTCTTAATGTTCATCCAACATGGAAAAGTGTACTGCATTTTAAGAACACTCACTATAAATGAGGATTAGGCTAGCTAAGTGTACATCCTGTACGTCTGTTTTAAAGCAAAGCCACATTAGGCTATCTGCTGTGTCCACCACAGGAAATCAAACCCCAGATTTTACAGTTGTAAGTCCATAGACTTACCATTGTCCCACTGGGTGACAGGTGTACAGCACATAAAAATTAGTCAAAACACTGCAGTAACGAGTGGAATTAACATGTTGAAAAAACGTAAGGTCACTTTAAAGAGAAGGATAATGAGTGGGATCAACACCAAAACAATTCACCAATCACTTTAAAGAGAAGGATAATGAGTGGGATCGACACCAAAATAATGCACTGGTCACTTTAAAGACAAGGATAATGAGTGTGATCAACATCAAAACACCACACCAATCATTTTAAAGACAAGGATAATGAGTGGGATCAACACCAAAACAATGCACCAATCACTTTAAAGAGAAGGATAATGAGTGGGATCGACACCAAAATAAAACACCAATCACTTTAAAGAGAAGGATAATGAGTGTGATCAACACCAAAACAATGCACCAATCACTTTAAAGAGAAGGATAATGAGTGGGATCAACACCAAAACAATGCACCAATCACTTTAAAGAGAAGGATAATGAGTGGGATCAACATCAAAACACCACACCAATCACTTTAAAGAGAAGGATAATGAGTGGGATCGACACCAAATAATGCACTGGTCACTTTAAAGAGAAGAATAATGAGTGGGATCGACACCAAATACCACACCAATCAC